TGTGGGTGTGTTCCCTTTTGATTCCAAGCAACCCCCATCCTCCAAAAATATTTTTCAGATTTTTCTCAATTTTTGGTAATTTTAAGTGATTAAAAACTACTATTTTTCTCAAAAAAATTATTTTAATTTATTTTACCATTTTTCAATCCTAACTAATGCCACGTGTCAAGTGTAAGACCAATCTAAGCCGTACATCTCAAGATAACCCACCCCAGTATGATTTTTCAAAAATGTGATGTTTCCTCCTAGTAGAACCCCAAAAGCTTAACGTACTCTTTGGGGGGGGGGGGGGCCCCGGGGGGCGCCATTGGAGAGATGCTCGGTTTCTGAATGGATTCCGTTTGATTCGATACCCATTATATACCATTGAAGGGTTCGAGTTTGGTGTTTAATACACGTTGGTCGTGATCCGACTCATTAGATCCAAAACGTTGGTGGTGACTCCGGATCTAACCATTCACTTGCAATATACATAATTTGAAGTAAAAAGGGCCAACCCAATATAAAATAATTTGAAACATTGTCTCATTTGGCATACTATTTACTGTTATAAGGCATAGAATTAGAGTTCAAAACTCCAAATATATATGTTATAACTTATTATATAAGCTGAAAATAAAGTGCCATGTAGTGGCTAAAAGGATTCGAACACACATCTCACAGTAAGAGGAAACGACCATCAAACCATATGGCCTATTATATCAATTCATTTTGTTTAAGACGTGTAACAAATATAAGATAATAAGACCTTCGCCCTACTTCTTTCATGAATTACGAATTAAAATGTTCCTATTCCAAATAGGCCATTACCATGTTCACTTGGTGAATTTTTAGGTTAAATGTGTAAGTAATTGTAGGGAAATTATTGGAGAGAATCTGGTAAGAAGCTGGTATATAGTTGTGGGGCCTAGGCGTGCACTGGCTCAGGCGTGCGCGGGGGGATGCCTGCGTGCACGAGCAGCGGCTGCGTGCGTGCGCACGCGGCTTGCTGCGTGAACTGCCATGTGTGGGTGTGTTCCCTTTTGATTCCAAACAACCCCAATCCTCCAAAATTATTTTTCATATTTTTCTCAATTTTTTGTAATTTTTAGTGATTAAAAACTAATATTTTTCTAAAAAAATTTATTTTAATTAATTTTATCATTTTTCAATCCTAACTAATGCCACGTGTCAAGTGTAAGACCAATCTAAGCAGTACATCTCAAGATAACCCACCTAGTATGATTTTTCGGAAATGTGATGTTTCCTCCTAGTAGAGCCCCAAAAGCTTAACGTACTCTTTGGGGGAGGGAGGGGGCGCCATTGGAGAGATGCTCAGTTTCCGAATGGATTCCGTTTGATTCGATACCCATTATATACCATTGAAGAGTTCGAGTTTGGTGTTTAATACACGTTGGGCATGATTCGACTCATTAGATCCAAAACGTTGGTGGTGACTCCGGATCTAACCATTCGCTTGCAATATACATAATTTTAAGTAAAAGGGCTAACCAAATATAAAATAATTTGAAACATTGTCTCATTTGGCATACTTTTTACTGTTATAAGACAAAGAATTAGAGTTCAAAAATCCAAATATATATGTTATAACTTATTATATAAGGTGAAAATAAACTGCCATGTAGTGGCTAAAAGGATTCGAACACACATCTCACAGTAAGAGGAAAGAACCATCAAACCATATGGCCTATTATATCAATTCATTTTTTTTAAGACGTGTAACAAATATAAGACAATAATACCTTCGCCCTACTTCTTTCATGAATTACGAATTAAAATGTTCCTATTCCAAATAGGCCATTACCATGTTCACTTGGTGAATTTCCAGGTTAAACGTGTAAGTAATTGTAGGGAAATTATTGGAGAGAAGCTGGTAAGAAGCTGGTATGTAGTTGTGGGGCCCAGGCGTGCACTGGCTCGGGCGCGCGCCGCGGTGTGACGGTTCAGCACAGGCTTAGCCTTGCCTACGCTTGGCAGGCTTACGTTAGGGACATGCCTGTCATTTTCGCCTGTAAGATTTTTGGGAGAACTGATGTCATCTTCAGGCAAACCACCAAAAGCTTAA